GTGGGTAAGGAAATGCAGAACATGTTGCCTTATGTACCTAAGTCCGGCAACTTTAGAAACAGGGCCATGGGGCCAGGCAGAAAAATCTATGGTGAAACAGGAACAGGCAAAGGCAGTACTTAGACTCTGGAGACCTTCTGGCTGAGCACTTTCCAGATGGGATCTGCAAGAGTGCCAAAGAGGACAGGAACACAGACACCTCAGGAAGCCACAGTGTCCTCTAATTATATCTCTTTGTTCACACAGAAAATTATATTGAGCTCATTTGTTATTCTACCATTGGTAGAATTTCACAGAGTTGGTTATATTTGAGGACATTGGCAGATGTTAAATTATATTTTGATGCCCTGGCAGAAGCAACAGAAAGCAAGAAAATCTTTTCATGTCTCCAGGGATGTTTAGAGCTCCAAAGGATGTTCCCGTAGGCTCTTTCTGATCTTGGAGTCTCCTTAAGACAGAGAGCACACAGTGTTGTATCCATCTTACAGAAAACAAAGATGAATCTCTCCCAGTGTGTTATACGGCAAGTGAGTCAGAGAACTTGAGTGAGAATTCAGTGACTAGCTCCTCACAGTGCTATGGCTCTATTTTAAGATTTATTTTTATGTGTGTGTGTGTGTGTGTGTGTGTGTGTGTGTGTGTGAATGTGGGTGCCTGTGGAGGCCAGAAGAGGGCATCATATCCCTTAGAGCTGGAGTTACAGGCATCTGTGAGCCACCAATATGGGTGCTGGGGACAAAACTTAGGGTCTCTGTAAGAGCAGCAAATCCTCTCAACTGCTGAACCAGCTCCCCAGCTCCAGTGGTTCCCTTCTTGTGTGGCAAAAGATGAGAGAAAAGGGCAGAGGAGAGGTGCTTCCAATCATATTTCACCTCTGATGGCTTCACATATCTGGAGAAGGAGGAGAAGGTCGCCTTGGGCTGTTTCTGCTATGCTAAGCTGTCGAGCAATCTCTTTAGCCTCCAGTATTATTCTCTCTTTGCACTCGACAAGAATTCCATCCCTTTCCTGATTCTTGCTATATCTTGTACAATTCTCCGAGTCAGTGGCAGCTAACAGCCAAACCAAATGTTCATGTCTTCTCAGCATCGAGTTGTTCAGAAGCAGCTGCCTCACCAGGACGGCATTCTCATGCTCTTGTACCTGTACATGCACAGGGCCACTTCTGCCAAGAGTATATTAGGGGATGTGATGAGTCACTGCAGGCTAAGAGTCCAGCATATGCTTCCAACACAAGCACTCTCTAGTTTATGATGGGTCCGTTGAAGAATTTCTGAGTTTATAGAGCTATGGAAGGGATACATTTTCAGCAGAAATCCTACTATCAATTCTGAAGTCTGATCATTCTCTGCACTAGTGATATGTAATAGTGTACTACCATGGACCATTGAGCGTTTAAGGTGAGCTGCAGCTCCCAGTCACATGACGTTGCCTCAGTGTAGTATGACTTGGATAGGTTAGGTGTATTAAATACATCTTTGATTTATGATAGTTCCAAATTAAGATTGGATGATAGTGAAGTAACCCAGACGTAGAAAGATAAATAAGGCATGTTCCCACTCACATGTGTAGATGTAACCAACCGTCTTATTAAATAAGAAACACAGAACCAATGCAAAGAAGAAAGCCAAGAGGTCAGAGCTAAGAGCTAAAACCTTACCCGTCCTCCTGCGGTGGTCCTACCTCTCCAAAAGAGAGCTACTTCCTGTGTTAAAGTCTTTATATAGACTTTCTGTTCTGCCTTCTCATTGGTTGTAAACCCAACCACATGACCGCCTCGTCACTGCCTGTCTGTACAGACCTCCAGGTCTTCTATGGTTGGTATTGAGATTAAAGGCATGTGTCTCCAATGCTGGCTATATCCCTGAACACACAGAGACTTACCTAGCTCTGCCTACCAAGTGCTGGGATTAAAAGTGTGTGCCACCACCGCCTGGCTTTCCTATGGCTTGCTAATAGCTCTAACCCCCGGGCAACTTTATTTATTAACACACATGTAGATCCTACCATCAAAGCCTTAGATTTGTGTGTTTAACCTGCAGAATCCAGAAAACTAGAAAGGGAACCTACAAGTTGTGATCATCATTGCTTTCTGCTCCTTATCCAGCAATATTGAAACCAATTATTCATGATGAAAAGAATATGTGTTTCTGGGTTGACTACCCAGAAGGCACTGGAGATGGGATGGACAAGAATATACTATATGACAAATGATTGAGACAAAAGGATGGCTTACTTTTTAGTAATTGGAAAACAATGATCAATTATTTCACTTTGGTGACATTCCTCTGCTCAATTTTCTACCTGGGGAACTCATTCTTCAAGATGTAGCTTTGGGATGTGTTCCTTGACTTTCTCACCCAATCTAAACAAGGTTCTCAGGCTCTTGGTGCTTAGCTCTCTGCATAGGACACATGTGATGCACACATCATAGGCTACTGCAAGCATTTCATGCATGCTTATCTCTCCTGCTTAGCCCACATTCTCCCCCAATGCAGGTCATATAATTTATGTCTCAGCCTCTGGCCAGCACAGTAGAAAATCTAAAAACCATTAATAAATATCTATTGACAAGATAAATGAAGGGGGAAGACCCCCAAATGGTAATCTCCTAATTCCAACATCAGCCAAGCTATGTCTGGAAAAGGCCTATGATTTACATCAGCCATGATGACTTTGCAGATACCCCCACATCAGAAGTCACCCCAAGAGGACAAGCTCAGGATACTTTCTCCTGATCTAAGATCTTTATCATGAGCTGTTTCACTAACATCCATTGTCTTCTGAATCTCACCTGTTTCTTGTATCTTGACTTCTAAGCCACTTCACAAACCTTTTCTCTCCTTTCCACACATTTTTTCCTTCATGATCTCTGCCCTTCTTATTTTAAATTAAATTAAACTGTTTTATTTTATGTGTATGAATGTTTTGCCTGCATGTATATCTCTGCACCACGTGCCTGCCTGGGGCCTGCAGAAACTAGAGCAGGTGTCAGATACCCTGGGATGGAATTACAGACAGTTGTGAAGTGCCATATAGAGCTGGGAATCAAACCCAGGTCCTCTGAAAAAAGCAAAAGTGTTTATTATTATTATTATTATTATTATTATTATTATTGATTTTATTGGTGTTTTGCCTATATGTATGACTGTAGGAATGTGTTGGATCCTGGAATTACAGAAGGCTGTGAGCTGCCATGTGAGTACTGGGTATTGAACCCTGGTCCTCTGGAGGAGCAGTCAGTGCTCTTAACAGCTGAGCCCTCTGTTCTTCGTCTTTAACTATGGTCATGGTCACTCTTCTGTCACAGCGAGGGGCCATTTTCCACATCCTCATCCCTGACCCCCTGTTGTCATTTTACCTGACTGATCCCAATCAGAGCCCAGTGACAAGAAAGCCTCTCAGGAGGGAATGTGCTGCTTCCTTCCTTGGCATGTCCCCCACTCTGTGGTGTTGTTCCACAGTCCCTTTCTTTTCCACTTATACACTGCTTATTATGCTGGATATTTTCTATTTTGTCCTTAGACTTGTCCTCACCCCCTTTATTCTGCTGTCCACCAGGAGTCTGGTTTTCATGGACTGTACCAGGGGGCTTCCTGGCCATCTGACTTTGTTTGGGATTGGCTAAACAAAGTGTTGTGGAATATTCCTTTACATTATGTGAAGATATGCCACTGTGGTTGGCTTAATAAAGAGCTGAATGGCCAATAGCCAGGCAGGGAGAGGTTAGGCAGGACTTCTGGGGACAAAGGAGTCAGACAGGAAGAAAGGTGGAGTCACTAGTCAGACATGGAGAAAGCAGCATGAGTAGTATGGAGAGATGAGGTAATGAGGCATACAACAGAACGTACATTAGAATAAATGAGTTAATTTAAGTTATAAGAGCTAGTGGGACAAGCTTAAATTAAGGCCAAGCAAGCTTTCATAATTAGTAATAACTGTCCATGTCATTTTTTGTGAGTTGTCAGCCCAAAGAAAAATCCATCTATATATGGTGCTCAATGTGGGACCATGTATATCCACATAAGGCCTGAGTCAGCTTAAAAAAAAAGAAGAAAAAAAAGTATGGAACATGTAATCAAATATGGCTGCCTGGTGACCACAGTCTCTCCGGTAGGCTCAGTGGCATACAGAGACACAGCTACCAGCCATTGCCTTTGACTGGAACCAGCTACCAGCACCATGTACCAATGCCATGCACTAAGGTAAGCCACATGGTGGCTGACATAGAAGTTTAAGATTTGTCTCATGTGATCAAAGAATGCTGCAGATGCTCAGTAAATACAGATCTAGACAGAAAAAACCTCTAAACAGGTTACAGTGTGTTTAAAAATTGTGTGTAGGTTTAAAAAAGAGAAGAAAATTGGTGCAGATGGTCATAAAAATAGTTTATAAAGAATAAGATAACATTTTTAAAGAGAGAATAAAACAATATAAAAAGATATAAGCCATGAGCTGGGCGGCAGTGGTGCATGTCTTTAATCCCAGCACTTGGGAGGCAGAGCCAGGCAGATCTCTGTGAGTTCAAGGCCAGCCTGGTCTACAGAGTGTGATTCAGGACAGGCTCCAAAATGACACAGAGAAACCCTGTCTTGAGAAACAAAACAAAACAACAACAACAGCAGCAACAACAACAAAAAGATAAGCGATGTAAAGATGGGAAAATACAGAGAGAGTCTGGATCCTATATGGTGTCTTGTTGATTTTGAATTTTTTGAATGCTAATGAACAGAGAACAACAGCTGCTGAGAAACACTGGACTGTGGAAGGGACTGCTGAATTAAACCAGCCTAGATACTTTAGAGATGCCTTAACTTTAAAATGGAGGTCAGAAAATGTTTTGCTTTGGGAAAGAGGCTATGCTTTTGTTTCCACAGGAAACGAAAGGCTGTGGATTTATTCAAGGTTAAAGAAGATCAGGTTTAATGAGGGGGTGGGAGGAAACCCCTGAAAATCCTGGCTATAGACATAAAGAAACTTTGTGTGTTTTCAGAACAAGGGAACCAGACAACAATGAAAACAGATGCCCCAGGTGATCCAACTTCTTAGAGTACCTCTGTTGCAGTTTCCTCAGATTTCTGCATTCAGAACAATTTCAAGGCTGCAAAGGTTAGATTCATGGATCTTTTCCAAAAACAAAAAACAAAAACAAAACAAAAATAGGTGGGGGCAGGGGGAAAGATATTAGGAAAGGGTTGATTATTGAATCTACTTTCTTTCCCTTTTTTGTTGTTGTTGTTGTTGTTTTTTGGTTTTGAAGACAATGAAGGAATTCTTGACCCAGACTACACAGCCACTAACATTCCCTCAGGTTTCTAGGTAATCATCTTTAGATCAATGTCAAGGCCACCCTTGCTAGTGCTGAAGGCTTCACATCTCTTGTTAGTTACTTGGTTTCCCGAATTCTCTCATATCTTTGGAAATGGCCACTTATCTGAAATATTCCTGTTGGGTGTGCTATAATTTCTTTGAGGATCCTTGGTGATCTACCAACTCATTCCTCAGATCACAGGCATCTCTACCTGGCCTTTTTCCCCTTCCTGGGCTGAATTCTCCTGTTATATGCTTTCTTGTTTTCACCTTCTCATACTTTTCCTTTGTAACACTCATAATTGTTATCATTTTCACTGATGAGTGGTTAATTGCTTAGTGTTATGGTTAGTTTTAACTGTCAACTTGACACCATTTAGAATACCTAGGAAAGGAGTTTCAGTGAAGGATAATCAAGATTGGTTACCTTGTAGGGAATTTTCTTGATTATACTGGAATGAGAAGATCCACAATGGGTGGCACCATTCCCTAAGTAGTAAATTATTTATTGTAGCAAATCTAATCACTAACGTATATGCATTAATTCATTGTTCTCTGCTCTTGACTGTGGATGAATGTGACCATCTGCTTCAAGTTCCTTCTGTGGAGTCCAGAATAGGGCATTAAATCCCTTAGAGCTGAAGTTGCAGGCAACTGTGGGTCTCGGGTGCTAGAAACTGAACTTCGGTCCTCAACAAGAGCAGTATGTACCCTTAACAACTGAGATATCTCTTGAGCCCCTAATCTGGTGACTTTAAGAATTCTCTAAAAGATGCCTTTCTTTTGCCACTGACATGTTATTATGACTTTATGATCCAGTTGGATCTTGTGTCCCCTGTCCTTCTAGAAAGGAAGTTCATTCTCATCTGCCTACTAGATACCCAGGCAGTAACTGTAGACATGGTCAATTTTTTTTCACATAGCATAAGAAAGTGTTATGAAATGTCTGCAAAGCCAATAAGGAAAAGTCAACAATTGGTCCATGTAACATCAGCCAAATGTCCTGTGAATTTATTGGTAAATAAAGTTTGTTTATTTTATTGATTTATTTTTAGAATATCCTTTCGATTTCTTCATCCAGAAAAAAAAAAATCCTGTGAAATGTTTGGACATGAACAATATAGCTCCATGTAATATTAAATATACATTTTTTTCTTAGGTTTAAATTAAAAAGGTAATAGCCAAAGTATTATGAACATATGAAACCAAACTATGCAGAATAAAAGAGTAAAAATAAATATCAAATATGTGTAGTTGTCACAGGCTATGTCTGCTTAGCAATTTGTAAACATTGCCTTCTTTACTGGTGCTGAGGACCTGCTGAGGACAGTGCTGTCATTTTCACTGTGTTATAGGTACAGACACTGATGATCAGAAGAGGTCAGTCATGGACTTGATGAATGGCAGGGTTGAGATTGTTTAATCAACTAACTCTAACCTTAAGCTCTTAGCCAGTCTCTTCCCTTTCAATTCTAAGTCATCCTTTGTACCTCTTTACCACACTGTTGGCCTTATGTTTGGCCCCAGCTACTCATAAATTGCCTTTACATGTCAGGGTCCTTATTATCCCATAACTAATTCCTCACATGAGGCTTGTTATTATTCCTTTCTCTTTCCTTGTTTACACACCTTTAAAAAGGCTCAGAACTGCAATATCCCAATTGCCATGACTGCATACTTTATATTCCTAAACTGTGTCCCATACCCACCCGTGAACTCCTTCAGCCATAACTCCTTGCAGCCATTGCTTGTTCTGTCTTTCCCTCCTCTACCAGGCAGCCCAAAGTTAGACCTGGCCCAGGCTCTTGCATATGCTTCGTCAACACTGATAGCCGCATAGCTCCAGAGCCCACACCCAACCCTGCTGGTAGGCTAACTACAACCTGGCAGGTTGGTTGAGCAGCTCCTAGGCAGTAACAGAATGAGGAAACTGCACCAGCTTCTGCTGTCAATCACACCTCTAACTGAGCGTCTCAAGGGTGGCAGAAGATTCCTTTCGCAGCCTTTGCGGCTCGGACTTAAGTCTTGTTCGGATAATTAGCACTTTCATTATGGCAGAATTCTGCCACAACAGCTCCTCATAAGACAGAATTCTGTATCTGCTGTGCAGCGAAACTTCCTTTCACCCCGAGGGCTGCCCGTGTTTAAATAATGCAGAATTAATTTTTATGAGTACCTGCATTTCATTCCCCTAGTCTTCCGGCAGGGGATGGATAAATGTATCTCTCATATGTTATCTACCCTTTTACCTATTATTTCACAACTCTCTATGACTTGGGAATCTACAAAGCCTACTGGCCACTTTTACCTTATCTTCTTATGGCTAGCCCCTCTTCAGAAGGCAGGAATAGATTCTGACACTATCACTTGGCCCCAAACCTCAAGCACCGATTCCTTTGTCAGGCATCTATTAAGTGTGTCTTGTTGCCCATTGCTCCAGGCACTTGGAGGTGCTGGGAGTGTGAAGAGGATCCAGCATGGCTGTTTGGCAGAAGGAAAGACGCATGCAGGAAGAGGCCTGTTAGAGAAGAATACAGCAGTGTGCTGAAGTGGCAATGGCAGAATGACAAAAGGCACAGAGCAGGAAGGAGGGAAGTCTCCTGTGTCAGGGGAAAGACTTCCACTGAAATGACCCTGAGAGTTGTCTTCATTACTGTTCTATTGCTGTGAAAAGACACCATGGCCAAGGCAACTTATAAAGGGAGGCATTTAATTAGGGATTTGCTTACAGTTTCTGAGGGTTGGTCTTTCATCATCATGGCATAGCAGCATGTAAGCAGGCTTGGTGCTGGAGTAGTAGCTGAGAGCTTTACAACCTGATCCACAGACAGTAGGAATAGAGAGAAAGAGACACTGGGCCTGGTGTGAGCATTTGAAACCGTAAAGCCCACCCCCAGGGACATGTCTCCTTCAACAAGGCCACACCTACTCCAACAAGGCCACACCTCCTAATCTTTTCCAAACAGTTCATTAACTAGCGACTGAGCATGCAAATATATGAGCCTATTGGGGGGCTATTCTCATTCAAACCGCCACAAGAGTGAACAGTATAAAATAAGACAAGGTTGTACAAACTGAACGCAGGGCTAGGTAGGACTCTTGGGAAGTATGCACAAGGCACTTAAGAATAACAGAGCTGGAAGCCAGTGATACCTCAGGAGCAGGAGATATCAGAGGCAGAGCATTAGGGGAGCATGGCTGAGACTTGAACAATCAAAAGCACAAAAAAATGTTAGAGCCTTGGTCATGATTCTTATGCAAAGCAGGATTACCACTGAGTCATCAACAGAATGACATCATAGCTGCCTATCAGCAGCATCCCATCTCAGCATGACATGGATCAGGGCCAGAGATGAGTAGCAGACAATGAATTCCTAACCAACACCAGCCACCTCACCTTCCCTCTTTCAGTAAGAATTTCTGGTTTACTATATCCTCCTCCACATGGGTAACCTTGCTGGTTCCAGCAAGTGGGTTCTTACGGGTCTAGGGCAAACAGGTACCTTCTCTTTTCTTTCTAATGATGGGCTTAAGCTTGGGAGATAGAAATGTGTTAATGAGCCTGAAGTGTGTTAATGAACCTTCTAGGAGGGATTGCTGGGAAAGATTCCCTCCTTTCTAAAACTTAAAAAAATATGTCTTTTATTTCCTAGGCATGGTTAATATTTGAACATGACGCATCTGGATTAAAACATCATGGAGCCAGGTATGGCAGTGGATACAGCCAGGAAGATCCTGAGTTTGAGGTTGGCCTGGGCTATAGTAAGACTGTTCAACAGCAACAACCCGGTAGAACCAGACACAAATGAAAAGTGCTATGGGGTCACACTGTCTTAGAACTGTTTTAGCCAGTTTGACTGGGGATTACTCTCTTCTGGGAATGCAACCTTTATTGGTACAAGGAGAAAAAGTAGTTGGGAAACATTTACATTATTCCAGGAATGATATGAGGAATAACTAATACTGATATGCATGATGAGGGAAATGATATTGTTTCAGAAGTGCTGAGCTAGTAGAAAGAAAGAATTTGGAGACTGGAAAGAAGAGAAAGCTTGACCTGGCTCATCACTGCTGATTCTAATTCACTCTTGTTTTACATAGCAGGGCACATGCCTTGCAGTTTCACTGGAGGGGTCCTAGGAATTACTTGCATTGACTTTTGAAACCTGGATCTGGGTTCCATTGCTAAGGCTGCTGCTCTAACAATGCCTACCTGAGAAGCCTGCTGCCAAGGCCTCTCCTAGTGCCTCACACAGGTTCTGAGCAGGCATCATGAATCAGTGTGCACCTCATTCATGTTGTTGATTCAGAGGCAGGACAAGCTCTATAGTGCCCACTTGGCACTCACACAGTACACTCACAGAGTAAAAGAGCATTAATGGCTGTATTAGGGGTGGCTCATACTGACTAATATGTGATGATAACTAATGGAGAAATCACCATTTTCCTTCCCCAGATGGAGTGAGATTCCCTCTGCCACTGAGCAATAAGAACATCATCATGTTTGTTAATAGTTTCCTATGATTCTGTCTGTTCCAGGTTCCTGGAATTTTTCAGTTCTAAATGCAAGTCACTGCTTGAAGGTAATTGTGTTCATAGTTCAGATTTTGGAAATCAAGTGAAAAGAGGCTTCAAGTGGATGGTCCAAGTTCATCAGAGCTCAGCTTCTGGTTCAGTGCTGGACAGAGGAGTCCTAATTTAGGTCTTTGAAGACCTTGTTAGGTGACTTTAGTTTGACTGTCTTTTAGTGCTCTTACATCTCAATGTGCTTACTTTTGCATCTTAGACAGCAGATATTAACATGAAGGCATGGGCAATGGAAGTTGCTGTTGTGCAGTATTCTATATTAACATTTAGCAAGTCAGTAGTTGGCCCAAATTGGCCATTTACAGCAATGCCGTGGACAGAGTTCAAGGTTTAGAAATGCAACAGCAGCAACTTTCAAACAGACCTTGCTCATTCAGTCACCAGGCAGAATTTAATCCAATAGGACTATTTAATGGAAATATTAATTATTCAGTATCCCCTTCCCTTTATAATTTACCTCCAATGAACAGTAGGGACTTAAGAATACTATCTTAGCAAACTTGTCCCATTTGGATGAGCTTGCAAAGTGACACCTGAGGTGATAACCATTAGTGTCGTTGGCCACACATTCCTGTTTTTTCTTGTGCACACATGCATTCCCCTGCCTTTTTGAAATTCAGAATGATCATATGACTTCTAATGACCCATTGACATGGTAAGAAGTAACACTGGCTACTTTTAGGTAAGAGAACTGAGAAGTAGGACTGTCAATAGGAATTAGTGATGCTTCACATGAAGGCTGGAACAAAGATGGTCCCTATTCAAAGCATAATGGACAGGTTATGTGAGTGAGAAGGAAGGCCCTGGTGGTGTGCACTATTGGGAGCTAGGGGTAGATTGCTACAGTAGCATAGCCGAGTCTATCCTGCCTCACAGCCTGTATAGGCTCTTTGAAGTTATGGTGATCTCTGATGGTAATTCCCCAGTTCTGTGTGCAGCATGCTGGAGATGTGCTAAGACTCTCCACACAGTCACTGCTAAGTTCTCAGAGTCACTATGTAGTCATACTCTTGTCTCAATTTAAAATTAACTGAAGAAAGATTAGGTGTAGTAGGTAGCCATTCCAGCTTTGACCTGGAAGCTCCAACCCCTATTGAGGCTTTGGTAACGGTCACACCTACAAGGCAGGGCTGAGAGAGGATGCTGAAGACTTGGGATCTGGATGCGCAGGCTCTCTTGGTTCCTGGACCCTGGATGCTGGAGGTAGACCGAGCAGAGTTCTCCAGAGAACACCGTCATACTGCGCCACACCTTTCCCAGACCCTGTAAACTATCCCTTCACTTGTAAGTTACCCCACAAAATAAACCTCCCTTTTAACTACATGGAGTGGCCTTAATAATTTCACCAATAATTAGGTGAATTTGTCACCATGTCAAAGGGAGCAAAGAAGGGCTATGAGTGTAGATATGTTAACTAAAAGTCCCCCTGTTGCAGTGTGCCCGCCAGCCCCCATCTTCTTTTTTCTACTTACCCTAACACCCAGGCTGAGACCCAGGCTTATTCACAATTCTTCCTAGTTATCTTTGAAGGCTGTTGCTTCCATATTAAAGTCTTTCCTTTTATGGACTCTGGCATCTTTCTCTACTTTCTGTTTCAGCACCAGAATCTGCCCAAGCGCAGAACCTGCAGATGTACCCTCTGCTCTACACCTATAATCAGAAAATCCATAGGGAGTTTTCTTTTGGATTTAAGGGACCACAGAGATCAGCAAAAACCCACACCCATTTTCTCCCTCGTTCTCTTCATTTCTATTTCAGAGACTTAATGCAGGGGTGTTACAGAGATGATGTACAGTTTAACTTTTCTGAAGATTCCTCAAGGATTTGTATCTGTCTAGAACCTTGAATTTTGTGAGCTTACTTGTAAATAAAATTCATGCAGCTAGCATCGAATTAAGATGTGGTCCTGTTGGGTTCAGTTGGGACTTCAATACAGTGTGACTGGTGCCACTGTGGGAAGAGAGAAACTTGCTCACAGGCATCTAGGGACAGAGGCGAGCTCAGGCACAGGTTGGAGTGATGTGCCTAAGAGCGGCCGTTGTCAGCATCCTCTACAGAAGATGTGAAGAGGCAAGGGAAAATCCTCCCCTACAGCCTCCAAAGTGAGCTTGGCCTTGCAGGCGTCTTGATGCTGGAGTCCCAGCTCCAGAATTGTGCACAGTATGTTTCTTCTGTACTGTGCTATCCCGTTTGTAGTAATTTGTTATGGCAACCCTGGGAAACTCTGCCAGCTTTCAAAGCACAAGCTATAGAAATAAGAAACATCCCTACACATGTGCCTGCTCAGAAAGACTGGTTTTCATCTTCACACCCTTTACAGAACAATGTTCTCTGAGCGTAACAGCCATCCTCTCCCACACAGGTGTTCTAAAAGGACTGTTAATCTTGGATGGTCATTAGTCTAGACCTCAGCTACTGTCTCTTATGCGGCCCTGCCATCTATATGTAATTCTGCCCCAGGTGCATGTGTTCTGGGAGGTTCTTGAGTATCTAGAGAAGGGAAGCTTAACGTGGATAGGGACTCCAACTATGCAGCTATGGGGAAGTCCCCACTTATGCTGGAGAGAGATGCTTTGGTGGATCACTGCTTTGGAGTCACCCACAGTTCTGTAGGTAACACCTCATCCATAAGCCCAATAAAATTATTGGTCCTCCAATTTGCACCTTGGTGTAATTATTGTCTTATTTTCTTATTGGTACCCTCTAGGCTCAGTCAACATTTGTTCACATCTCCCTGGAAAACTTCAGGCAATAATACTTTACCCACAATACAGTTCAAAAAATCACATACTAAACAATCAGAACACCGGCTTATCAGTCCTTATTATCCTAGACATAAAGAATGGTTTTCTGTGGTTTCCAAATCATCCTGCAGGGAGGCTTACCTACAGACAGAACCAAGTCTGCCATGTCACTTGGGGTTACTCTGAAGCAAGTGAGCCTCATTTCTGCAGCCCTGGTTCCTTCATTTATACTAGGCACCTAACGACCTGGATGCTTTTGTTTGTCACACAGGAGAGAGTATCTGCTGTCCTTTTGTGTTTCGGAGAACCTGAACCCCTTTTTCTGTATAGGGAATCCCCACCCCATGCCACAGGACAGCATCAGCCCGTCAGAGGTTCCCTTCCTACATGCCTGTAGCTAAAGCACAGGCCTGATGGAGGCTCTGCAGTTAAGAGACACCTTGCATGGGAGAGGAATGGAGCAAGGGCCAGAGCTCAGAGTGTGAAGGGACTGTGTCAAGTTTACTCATGAGGTTATAGCCGCCTCCAAATTCCAGAGCTGCACAGTGGAGGTTCTAAGGACAGAAATCAAAAGTAGAGTGACTGGCCTGTAGGGCTAGAGTCTCTGGTTGCACTGCGTCTTCCTGAGATAGACCCTGCAGCAGGGGTTTCCAAAGAATTTTGATTATGCAGCCTTCAAGTTATCGGACTATTTTGTTTTCCTTCAATTAACAGAGTTGGTTTTTGATGCTGGCAGCCCAGCATCATGATACCATCCGAGGATGGGATGCGATGGGAAATAGAAAACTGCTAGCAGGACCTGTGAGCCCTTTCCTGATGTGGCCCTGAACAAGGAGTCTGCTGTCACTGGGTTAGCAACACTCAAGGGTGAGAAGGGAGGGTTAGAAGCGCCAGACAGAAACAAGAACTGACAGACAGAACCGTGGGGCAGACCTAGGCGGCATCCTCCGGTCCTGGACACGAGTAAGGTCAGCCTCATTGGCATACCACCAGGTTAGTGCCTGGTGTGTGGTGTTTTAAAAGGAGAAGAGAGTTTCAGGGTAGGACTGGGAATAGACCTAAGTGAGGATTTTTGACCCAGCTGAGATGCTAATCCTACACCAAATAAAATTCCCATGAGAGGAGCCAAAGAGCAGTCTCTGCCAATCTGCACATCAGCCGACAGCCTAAGTAGGTTGCTTTGCGTGTTTGTTATGTATGCTTTCTGGTAAGCCTCACATCCCTAAATTCCTTCCGCCTGTGCCAACCTCACATTTGGATGCGCTAAGCTGTGCAGCAACGGGGGGATTCTCTCCTCCGTGAGAATGCCGGTTAAAAAAAAAAAAAAATAAGCCCCCAGCTCCTGCTTACTCTCACAAGTTTCCAGCAACCGGTGGGTGCCCTGACAAATGCAGTGTCAAAACATTTCCAAATGAAAGCCCCACAGCTCACACAAGCCCACTCCCACAGCAGGATGGACCCTCCTGCTTGCACCCAGCACACACTTGAAGAAACTAAAAATAGCCAGATGGCAATTAACAGAAGCTCCAAGGAAGGGAGATGGGGTAGGCCCCAGCAGGGTCAGTTTCCTGGATGCCTTCCAAATAGAGCTCTCAGCCAGCAGTGCTCTGGCCAAGAAGGGGTTTTCATTAAAACTGCATGAAGGAGGCAGAATGGAAAAAAATTAAGATTAGAAAGATCTGAAATTGGAGCAGAGATAGAAATGACAGCACCGTGTTGCCCAAGAGAAGAAAGGCAACAGTGTTTGCTAATGCATACTGAGTTCACATTTGGGGCCATCCACTGGGCACCTCAAACTCACGGAATTATCTCAAACTGGTAAGGACTCTAGGAAGGAAGGATGGTTCTTATCACCATGCTGCTCTCACAGACCGGGAGACGAAAGCCAGAGACACAGACAATCTGCCCAAGACCTCACAGGACAAACACAAGACACTCTCAAGGCAGGTGAATGACAAGTGGTCCAGCCGGAGTTTCAGGAGCACTCAGGCTCTGGCACTCAAAAACACAACCATTGTGTAGAGCTACCTAATGTATTTGGGGGACCATTTGAGTGACCAGCAGGCTTTCATCTTATTACTATTCCTAGGGATACAGTCTCCTTTAGTACTTTCAGCCACCCTTCCCATGGCAATGGCTTTTGGGATTGCTCGTGTGCTCGGCAGACAGACTAACTAGGTCTTAATTTGGCCTTTTCATTGCTATTTGCATAAAATCAGGAAACTATTAGCCTTTCGAGGCCATAATTCTCTCATCTCTGAAAGGGCAATAATATTAGCATTTATTTCATAAAGAAAACTGTCAAGAAGGTTAAAGGAAACTGTGTGGAAAGCCCTCAGCTTGGGACTTGCCTGCATTAAGTTTCTGTAGAAATAAAAACCATTGGTCACTCTAAACCTATGCCCTTTGAGGGACCAGTGTTGCTGCCCTTTTAGGTGAAAATAGGAGAGGGTAGTGGAGAGGTGCCACACTCTACAGACTCACTGGAGTTATTGTAGAATGGTCTTCAGTTTGATACAAGGAGACGGGCCTAAAAACAATTTTGAATTGTGATGGGTTTGGAGTCAGAGTGACTTCTCTGTTTTATCTGTCACAAAAGGGATTGAGGACGGCGTGCTACTTTCATTTTCATAGGGGGGTATAAGAGTGGCCATTTGCCTTTCTTCTTTTTCCCCCCCATTGGAGGAGTGAATCATACTCGGGACACTGGGAAATGGGGCTGAACACAGCCCATTGATGGGCTAGCCTGCCCTCATGGATTTAAAGGTGCACCCTTGATCTCCTATAGAAGGGGTATTTCCTTAATATCCTCCTGGAGAACAATTGTTTGGGATGCAACTGGGTGTTAAGTTTTAGTTTGGGGGAGGAAGGACTAGGAAATTTTCTTTGGCTGTGGGTCTGAGCACCATTCTCCAAATAGAAACACAATACAACAGATACTGTGCTTTCTAGCTGACATTTTTGTCTACTTCCAAATTGGTTTGGATTCAAAGGGGGAAAGGGATGTAATTAATTATCATCCATGTGATTAATTATCACCTTCATAAACCCCAACAGATGGATGCTTATTTTATTTCACTGGCAGATAAACCTATTTCAGGGCAAGCAGGAAGGAGGGTTGCATTTTGTGGTCCAATATCTTCATTGTTGTCAACGAGATGAAGAAAGACAATGACTGTGCCACAGGATTCCTGAGACTTTCACAATGCAGTTATTAGTGAGATGAGGCATTGGGGGAGTCATCTTCAGAAGCTGAAACCAGAATTAAGAGTAGATAACAGTGTCAACATGGCTCATAGATACCTAGGAATGAGTTAACTCTGACAGCTAAGTTCCCACGTAGGAAGAGCACTTTCCCAGAGAGAACATTCCCATCACGTCTGAGAAACAACCTCAGATCATGAAGAAGAAATCAACAGCTCAAAGATGATTTCTTTTTTAACTGGTAAAAACAAAACCTATCATAAGTCAAGCACGACCACTCACCTACAATCGAATACCAGGTGAGATGATAAAAGAAACATGCTTTTCTCTCCCACCCTCCCAGCTTCTCTCCTCTTCAGATTCTTTTCTTTGGTG